TATGTTTCCCACTGTTTCTGTATCAGCTCACCTCCTTCTGTTCTTAGCATTGCCCATGTGATACACAAAGTACATGTATGTTCCTTTCAATGTGCAAGTAGGTGGTGCAGATCTAGTCTTAGATTCAGACTCCAGAAATGCCAGATCTATATTTCAAGTTCTACTCTTTTTTTATCTTTTAAGGGAGGAGTTTCGCATTAGGAAAGGATAGATGATACAAGTCTACTAAAGATCAACTTGGATTGCACATTCATTCCTATCTGCCATTTCAAGGTGAAGGGAAAATTCATGAATTGAATGAGGTTGCAAATACTCTTAACCATATTACCTCATTTTCTCCACTTGAAAACATTCCTTCTACATTCAAAACCCACATACATAATAAATATAAAAGCAGTTATGGCAGTTGTGCACTGGCTACACAAGAACTGAACACATACATACATTAGGGAAGAACCTTACAGGCATAATGAGCATGGCAAAGCCGTTAGTGTCTTCAAGCCCTCCTGACCATGGAGAGATTCATACCGGAAAGAAAACTGTGAAATGTGAAGAATGTGGCAAGACTTTCAGGCACAATTCAGACCTTGTACAACATTGGAGCATCCATACTGGAGAGAAACCTTACAAATGTGATGATTGTGGCAAACTCTTCAGGCAAAATCAACATCTAATGGAGCATCAGAAAATTCATACTGGTGAGAAATCTTTCAAATATAATGACTGTGACAAACTCTTTAGGCAAAATGGGCACCTAATTCAACATCAGAAAACTCATACTGGGGAGAAACATTTCAAAGGTGATGAAATCTTTCAAATATAATGACTGTGGCAAACTCTTCAGGCGAAATGAGTACCTATTTCAACATCAGAAAATCCACACTGGGGAGAAACCTTACAAATGCAATGAGTGTGGCAAGGTCTTTTCTCAACAATCAGGCCTTATAGCTCATCACACAATCCATACAGGAGAAAGACCTTACAAATGTAATGAATGTGACAAGGCCTTCAGACAGAAGATAGCCCTTACATTTCATGAGAAAACATACTGGAGAAAAACCTTACAAGTGTAATGAATGCAGCAAGGCCTTCAGACAGAAGTCAGCCCTTACAGTTCATCAGAAAACCCACACTGGAGAAAAACATTATAAGTGTAATGAGTGTAGCAAGACCTTTAGACAGAAGTCAGCCCTTACAGTTCATCAGAAAACACACACTGTGGTAAAACCTTACAAATGTAATGAATGTGGCAAGGTCTTCAATCACATTTCACATCTTGCTCATCATCAAACAATTCATACTGCAGCAAAACCTTTGAACTGTAATGACTGTGGTAAGGCATTCAGACACAGATAGCCTGTACAGCTCATTAGAAAACATACATTGGAAAGAAACCTTACAAATAATGTGACAAGGCCTTCAGACACAACATATCCCTTACAGTTCATCAGAAAACACGAGAGAAACTTTACAAATGCAAAGAGTATGGCAAGCCCTTTTTTTTTTTTTTTGAGACAGAATCTTAAGCTGTCATCCTGGTTAGGGTACCTTACCATCATAGCTCACAGCACCCTCAAACTCTTGGTCTCAAGCAATCCTCTTGCCTCAGGTTTTTACTCTATTTTTAGTAGTTATGGGGTCTCGCTTTTGCTCAGGCTGATCTCAAACTTGTGAGCTCATACAATCCACCCACCTCGACCTCAAAGTGCTAGGATTACAGGCATGAGCCACCGCTACTGGCTTGTGGCAAGGACTTTAGTTGCAAATCACTTTTTACAGATCAGGACATTCATACTGGAGAGAAGCCTTACAGATGCAATGAATGTGATAAGGGCTTTCAGTTCACTTCTGACCTTATACAACATCGGGGCATTCATATAAGAGAGAAACCTTACAAATGCAATGATTTTGACAAGGCCTTCAGACTGAAGCTATCTCTTACAGTTCATCAGAAGACACATACAAGACAGAAGCCTTACAGAGGCAATGACTATAGGAAGGTCTTTACTTGGAAATAGCACCTTATAAAACACCAGCACATTCATATAGGACAAAAGCCTTACAAATACAATGAAAACATTAGTCCAGCCTGCTACAGTCCCTGGCTATTTTTTAGAGTCGGGGTCTTGCCTGGCTCAGGCTGGTCTTGAACTCATGAGCTCAGGCAATCCACTTGCCTCAGCTTCCCAGTGCTAAAATATTCTTGATGCATTTCCTTTTAAGAGTCAGAATTAAAAATCGGACTTTGTTATCCTAGCTAAACTAAGAACCATTGATATTCACTTTTTTTTTTTTTTTTTGAGACAGAGTTTCACTTTGTCATACTTGGTAAAGATCATAGCTCACAGCAACCTCAAACTCTCAGACTCCAGTGATTCTCTTGCCTCAGCCTTCCAAGTAGCTGGGACTACAGCTACAATGCTTGCCTATTTTTAGAGATGAAATCTCACTCTGGCTATGGCTGATTTCAAACTTGTGAGCTCAGGCAATCTACCCACCTCACCTCCAGAGTGCTAGGATTACAGGTGTCAGCCATATTCAATGCTACAATACTGTCCCTGGGTTGTACTTTTCAGTACCCTAGACCTTGCTTGTTCACATGCACCTAAACTCTATATGGGATTTTTCTTTTTCTGAGACAGAGTCTTACCTTGTAGCCTTTCGTAGAGTGCCATGGTGTCAGCTTCCAGCAACCTCAAACTCTCAGGCTCAAGTGATTCTCTTAGCCTCCCGAGTAGTGGCTAGGACTACAGGCACCCACCACAACCCCAGTGTTTTGTTTTGTTTTTTTTAGAGACAGATCTCTATCTGTCTCAGGCTGGTCTTAAACCTGTGAACTCAGGCAATCCACCTGCCTCTGTCTCCCAGAGTGCTAAGATTACAGGGCTGAGCCCCCTCACCTGGCCATTTTCTTGGGATATTGACAGTGGTGATGGATGTACATGGTATAGGAGTGAGAATTTGTATAGCAGAATCGGCCCTCCTACACCAGCAAGTGCATACATGGCTTCAGAGGAAGTAGCATGTATAGAGTGTTATGAATTTTAAGGGTAGGGCGGAGGTGGGGTCTCTACCTGTGGTCTAAACCTATAGCTGGTGCCAGAGGAGGGAGCACTGAGGCATTGCTATTAGCCAACCAGATGGGCAGAATAGGAAGAGACAAGGCAGAGGTGTTAGTCAAATGTCACACAGTGCAGCTTGACTCTATAACAGAATTTTCTACTGAAATCCCTCAACTTGGTTAGGAAAGACTGTTAATAGCACACTTCATTTCTTTCTTGGCTGCCCTCAAAGTTACATCCTACAGTGTGCGGTGGCTCACATGTATAATCCTAGTACTCTAAGAGGTGAAAGTGAAGTATTCACTTAAGCTGAAGAGTTGAGAACAACATGAGAAGAGGAAGATTCCGTCTCTACTAAAAATAGAAAAATTAGACTGGTAGTATGGTTGGTGCCAGTGTTGCCATCTGTTTGGGAGCCTGATGCAGAAGATAAGGTGATGCCACAGCACTTAAAGGTTTGAGATATGCCATGTAATTAAATTTCCTAAAATATTTTTAAAATTACAATCTAGATTATTTGTGGAAATCTTTATTATAAATACAATAAAGGAACTTTACAAAATTAGGGAAACAATTTTCAGATTGTGATATGAACTAATACTGATCTAATAATAAAATTATCACCAATAATATATGATTTTCTTGTCTAATATTTTGGCTTTCATATATCGTGATCCAGTGTATATTTTTAATATATTCTTTTCTTGTGTTACTCTAGTGACATATTTAGAGTTTGGAAAGGCAGATACTATATGGAGAAAGATTTTGTAACATGAGCATGCTCATAGCACAATGATGGGCCAACTAAGTTGTCTATAAGTCTGAAAAAAGCGGTTAGCTGTAAAGTCTTTAGGAAAAGCTTTGGGATAGTACAAGATAGTGAACTGAAATTCATTAATGTGGGCCTTGTCTAAGGTCAGATGCTTGGAAATCACATTTGTGCATATTAGCAGCTGCAGAAGTGGTGGCTCATGACTATTCCCAGCACTTAGGGAGGCCAAGATATCACCTGACCTAAGGAGTTCCAAACCACCTCAGCAAAAGTGAGACCCCTTCTCTACTGAAAATAGAAAAACTAGTTGGGCATGGTAGCAGGCTCTTGTAGTCCCAGCTAGTTCAGAGGCTGAGACAAGAGATCTCCTAACACCAATAGTTTGAGGTTGCTATAAGCTAA